CCATTGACAATGGACTTTTTTGCTTGCAAAATTTGTCTGAAATTGTTGCTTTTGATATCTCTTAACCGATTTCCTCGCAGAAGCAGTCGTTGATCATTCTAGCTGTTCACAGAGCTTTTTGTGATCTAGAATGTCGTAGCAGCTCCGCTTGTTGTCCTGAAGTCTGTAAGCAAATACTCTGTTGATAGAAGGTCTGGTGGTATCTTTTAGCAAACATCGGTGCCCGTAACATGTCGTGTCAGGTGCCCTTAACCCGTGAGCTTGATACAGTGGAGGTGTTGAAATGGTTTATTTTGTTTGTGATCTTTGACTTGCTGGTAACAGCAGAGTCTGTCGGCCGTGCCATGAGTCAGCATGACGTCTCATAGAGGTGTTCCTGCTCTTCATAGTGTTGTTTAAACACGCCGTCAAGGGCAAAGTACAGCGGTAGTAGAGGGGAGATTCACACCCTGTTGTGCAAGTGCATCTTGTGTCTTTTATTAACTCGCATAACTTGCTTTTGTAATGTTAAGTTTTTAGTTTTTTTTTGGTTGCCAATATTTTCTTTAAAGACCAATGAGATATCTTGAGAGTAGGATGACCGATATTACCAATAGACACATTAGGGCTTGGTAACAGCAGCTACCTCATGATATATGATACACATTGCTGTACATAAATCACAGTCCAGTACATAATGATATTATAATCAGATTGCGATTGTGTGTCTGTAAGGGGGAATATCTTTGGGGTCTCGTATGACTTGTTGAAGCTGTTCTGACTGCACTGGAAAACATCGGCCTCCACGTTTGTGCTCATTAAATTGATCTTTTTATTTTGGTGAACGATAGGACATCAAATGAATACACCAGTAAATAAATAAAATGTTGATATAAGGATCTGAAATATTGATGCATAATGAGAAAAAAGAATTGCAATTAAATGACTGACTCTAATACAAACGATACAACTTAATGACAAATGGGACATACACACACAGACATAAATAAACAAAAATTTACATTGTTAATTGTATTAATTTATTGCATATTATATATTTTTTTGAAAATTAAATAATATATTTTTATGTAATTGTATAACATTTTGTGGGGTCTGTAAGAATTCATGTATTTATTTATTTATTACATTTATAGACTTTTGATGCTTGGTTGCATTAAATACACTTACACAATTGCATTAAACACTCAGTGTTTCCCACAGGATTTTGTGAGACTGGTGGGTCGTCCTCGATTGCTGTAGGGGGGTCCGGGGGCATGCCCCCCCTGGAAGAAAATTTTGTACATTTTCAAGTTAAATTCATAAATCTGGTGCACTTTGAGAGTTAAAAATTAAGAGCTCCAACACACGTTCAGTGTGCAAACTAAAAGAAAAAAGCAGATGAATGTACTTGTTCTTGAAATTTAAATGGGACTCAACCCTCTTTTTAGTTGTGATATAGTGTCTCAAGTCTCACTGGTGAATTTGGAAGCCAAACAAATTAGAATAAAATGATAATAATAATTTTATAAATGCACTGTGAAATAAATGAAAATAATTTTTT